GTTATTCCATTCTTCAGTAACCCTATGTGAAGTTCTGGAAGAGATGCTAGATAGCCGATAAATAGCCAATGGATTTTTCAAAACTTCGCCATGGCTAAAAATGCGTGTTGTACAATAGAGAATAACTGTAAGTCAGATGTTTGATTTAATTCATGAGGTTTCTAGTCTGAAAAATACCGAAAGATTGATCGGGACTGAAAACAGCTACCTTGCTCTCCGGTGAGCAGTTGAAATTAGATTCAATCTACATACTCACCTGGGATAAACAATTTCTTTTAATGATTCCTCTCCGACGCTATCTTTCATAAACTGTTCCACGACAGCACCGTTATAAGGAAGGCTCCAACCATCGAGTATAAAATCTTTAAAGCGTAAATAAATATGTTGACATTCTCTGAGAGTTTTGCCTGTAAAATTGAACATAGCACTCAAGGGATGATAATGCCAACAGCAAACAACCTTGTGCAAGACCCGTCGCAAGTAAAGCACCCGTGGACGTGCCCGCTACCCAATCGAAGTACGGAAAGACTGGCTCTTTTAATTCTTTCTCTATCGCCATGAGTATCTATAAAATAAGTGAGAAGGCGCATTCGCTACAGCACAATCATCAACTTTTTTTTTTCTGACTGAAAATCTCAAATTCAAGATAACTTTCTGCTGTGATACTTTTCCATTGGTAGAATCAAAAAGGAAACAATTTGAGAGTGTGAAAAAATGCACAGATGGATGTGAATTAAGAATTAGTTTTTTGGTGGTTATGGAATGGAATAATAGCATCAAATCTACTATTTTCATCGGAATCGTATAAAAAATCTGGATTTGCCGTTCCAAAGTGTAAGGTTAGGATAGCAGCATGAAATGACTGCACATATTCTGAGCTGTCAGGTTGACAGAATTTCGACAGTTTTACGAGCATTTCGAAGTCTCTATTTGTCAATGTGTTATTGCTTTGCGGCGGTTATATATGAAACAAACAACAGCAGTTATGACTAAATGATTAGAAAAGTTCTTCGACAAATATATACCACTTAATTCTCTAAAACTTCTGCATTCTCATATTACACCTAAAATTATGCAAATAATGAAAAGAGTATGGTCCGGCGAAATTTGCCGATTTCCATTTCGATTTGATTCGCTTATTGCGATGAATAAATCCGTTATTTCCCTTCGAGTTATGGGTATGTGCTCTCTTATTATTCAAGCACAGCATCTTTTTTTTGAGCTCATAACGGCGCTGAACACAGCTTAAACGCGGCCAATACAATAGACTTTCTGAGTTTGAGGTTGTACTTCAAGTCCATTGAAAAGATTAATCCAGGCGGATATGTTTATCTACGAGTTCTCTAAAATACCTGAAGTATAACAAGTCCTCGAATTCCGCCGCCATCCATAGACAATAGATTGACCATGTTAGAAGGCTTTTCACCTCGACTGGCCAACTTTTCAAGACGAGAAATGAGTCCATCATAGCACATCTACATTAGGTAGGATTTATAAGCGCACACCACATACTGAAGGATTAACACTTTTTGAGTAAAATCCCGTATGGGTTCTTCCATAAAGGTTGCTTCGGAGGTGGACTGTGCGCTTTCTTTTTCATCCGTCTACAACGTAAGTTAATTTGCTGTTATACACTTTCAACTAAATGAGCAAACTAAACAAACCTTTGGTGAATCGACAGGCGCGTCATTTGCACATCCAGAAACACAGCCGATCTTGTTTGGTTTGCAAGGAAGGGCGCCACACATTATTAAAGAGTCCAAAAGTGACTTCCTGCATACATGGACAGAGACTTATGCGACAGCCATAAGCTCATTACAAAGAAATTCTAACTCTTTTAGACGTGCCGCTAGATGTCGTGGCGTGTCATCGTTTGCATTGCTAATATTTGGATCGGCTCCCAAGCAAAGAAGAAGTCTTGCAGCCTA